AAGGAAGGAAGGAAGGAGAATGGGGAAAGGAGGGAGGGAAGGAAGGAAGGAAGGAGAATGGGGAAAGGAGGGAGGGAAGGAAGGAAGGAGAATGAGGAAAAGGAAGGAAGGAAGGAAGGAAGGAGAATGGGGAAAGGAGGGAGGGAAGGAAGGAAGGAGAATGGGGAGGGAAGGAAGGAAGGAAGGAAGGAGAATGAGGAAAAGGAAGGAAGGAAGGAGAATGGGGAAAGGAGGGAGGGAAGGAAGGAGAATGAGGAAAAGGAAGGAAGGAAGGAGTAGCAATGGCCCTTAGACTTATATACTGTTTCCCAGCGCTTTCCAGCCCTCTCTAAGCGGTCGACGGAATCAGCCTCTTGCCCCCAACAATCTGGGTCCTCATTTTACCAACCTCGGAAGGACGAGTCAACCTTGATCCTGATGGGATTCGAACTGCCAAATTGCAGGCAGCCGGCAGGCAGCAGATGTAGCCTGCAGTACCGCCCTTTGACCACTGCACCACCGAGGCTCATAAAGCAGTTTTAACACTTCATGTGATCCAGCATCCTGAGTCACGTGAATCAAAACTGAGATGCTTGGCAACTGACTCCTATTTATGACAGTTGCAATGTCCCAGGGTCATGTGATCATCTTTTGCGACCAATGGGGAAGTCAGATTCGCTTAACACGTTACAGATATTAGGCCTAGACTTAAAACACCCACAATTGAGCCCAAAATTTCTATTGCTAAGCGAGACATTGGTTAAGTGGGGTTTGGCCCTATTTTACGACCTATCTTGCCACCGTTGTTAAGTGAATCACTGCAGTCGTTAAGTGAGTCACACGATTATTAAGTGAATCTGGCTTCCCCCATTGACAGAAGGTTGTAAAAGGTAATGATATGACCCTGGAACTCTGCAACTGTCATAAGTATGAGTCAGTTGTCAAGTTGTCAGACGCTGCCCTGGGAATGCTGCGACGGTCGTAAGTGTGAAAAACTATCATAAGTCGCTTTTTTTAGTGCCATAAATGAATTGTTGTAACTACCTGTATTTTAAGAAAGAAACCTTCCAGATAATGCTTCGAATGAATGAATACAAGAGAACGTCTTAAAGCACTTCTTTTATGGCCAATGCTCAGGTTGTGTGATGAACTAAACCAGGGGTCGCCCACCTGTTGGACCTCAGGGACCACCAAAGTCATAATTTTAAATCCCACGGACCAGAGACCCTGGGAAAATCCCCCAAAAAGTCTGCAGGAAAGTCTCCCACCCTGTTTTTCCTACCGATCGATCGTTCTTTATTTGGGATCGCAGGATACCATCTCCAGCTCCGTTCTCGGGGAGAGAGAGACTTTTGGCTTCATGCAAGGAAAACAGCAGAAGCTGCAGAAGTCTTCCTTTCTCTCCCCCAAACTCCACCAGAAATGAGTGCAGCCTCTTGGAGCAGGAGGCCTTGCAGGGTCCCAAAGACTCATTTCTGGCAGAGTTTGGGGGAGAGAAAGAAAGACTTTGGCTGCTTTCCTTGTGTGCAGCCAAAAGCAAAAAAAGAAAGAAGCAGAAATAAGCAACCCGGTGGCCAGGCAAGGCACATAGTGGTTGGTGACCACTGAACTACACAACTCATGGGGGAGAGGAAATGCTTATATTTCCCCCTTCTACGCCCTCCCTACCACTATTTTTCGGTGTCTCCTGATTTGCAGAGTGTGTTAAACTCTTTAACAAGATGTGGATTAGTTCACAAGTCTATAAAAAAGTGTGAGAAAACAGCTGAGAAACTGAATAAGAATATGGATAATATTGTTAAATAAGACATGAGAATATTTAAAGAAAAATGAAATGAGATATACGGTAATATGAAATGAAAATTGAAAAATAGGAGAGGAAATTGAATAATGAAATTATTAGGTATGTTTGAATGATACAGTGACTGGCACTAGAAGAGAGTATTGAAATGTTGAAAAACTAAGCAGTGAAGGATTATACTTTAATATGAATATGTGTATTAAGAGATATGGTTGGTTTTATTAATTTTAGTTGTATTAAAATGTATGATATATTGGTGCCACACTGTTTATGTATTGATGCGTATGTATAGATTGAAATAAAAACTTGCTTAAAAAAAGAAATGAAATTGGATAAAATAAGAGCAATGAATATAGAAATTGAATAAGAATGTGGATAATATTGTTAAACAGTGTGTGAGACTATTTAAAAGAAAAATGGAAGAAGCAATAACATGATATGAATTTGGATATGAAAGCTGAGTCTGTAATCATGGTCACGTTTGTATTGAATTGTGAAAACCTGGTACCACATAGCTCACCTAATGAGATGCTTTTAAAATATAAAAATAAAAAATGTATTGAAAAAAAAACAAAAAAAAAAAATCAACCACCTGTGACCTTGCACACAATATGTGCGGCCTCTCCCAGATCTGGCGAGGGAGTAGCGTAACAAACACCCATATTTTTCCATCCATTTCTCAGGGTTGGGGGGGGGGTGCTCAGGGCTGAAAGCAACCCCCCTCAAAGTTAAACAGACTGTTTGCATGCGTGTTCGGGGGTTAGGAAGGACGATGCAGCCTTGTGCTGGTGTAATTGCAGCTTTTATGGGTTTTAATGTTGACTTTTAAGCCAAGACATGACTGGCTCTTTGCAAACAAAAAATAAATAAATCTCCTTTTATGACCTCTTTAGAGGATGACAGCGTGGCTGCAAAATGCTCTTCGGCAGGCGCTGCTCTCTCTGTTTGCCCTTCGCCCGTTTCGCTTCCTGCCCACAGACTCAGAAAAAGCTAATCAGGCTTTGGGGGCTAAAGATAAACTGCCAGGAAAACATCATTATAGGAAGGTACTTTAGCCACAGTTCAAATATATCAGGGGCTGCTGCAGTCATGGAAATGTTTTCCTGGAAAGCTTTCCAGTGTATTTAGCTTTAAGGTAATCTTCAACAACATCAATCCATCAGAATGGAGCTGGAAGGGACCCTGGAGGTCTTCTAGTCCAACCCCCTGCTCAAGCAGGAGCCCCGAGCCCCATTTCAGACAAGTGGCTGTCCAGTGTCTTTTTAAAAACCTCCAGTGATGGAGCCCCAACAACTGTTCTATTCTCTCTCTCTATATATATATATATGTGTGTATGTGTATGTATATAATATTCTATCTATGTATGGTATTCAGCTTTGTTCGGGTATTTTCCCACGTTATTATAGTTGTGCTTTCAAAGTTGTAGCAACGTTTCGGCAGAATCTCATCTGCCATCATCAGGCTTCTGTATTCTATTCTAT